GCAGTTAAAGGTAAAGACCAGTTATGGTCATGCGATTGCATTGTGAAAGAAACGTTGTGGAATCGATCAGAAAAGGTTGATCATCTAGCATTTAGCATCTGCAAGGTTCTGGAATCATCAAAATGATAAGAAATTTGGCCCATTCTTCGTAAAGTTACAAGCACTATACACAGAAATATGTATATGGGACTACCCTATATCTCTCACAGACCATGAGAGAAACAAATTTACCAAATATATGAATTAGTAGGCGGTTTCCCGGCAAATTTTTATCATCATGTATTAGTCAAAACATATTCTTTCACATGATTGGTAATGAGAGCTTCCATTTCATTTATTGAAATTGGGGCGTTTCCAATACAGGCCTTTACCTTTAACAATGGTGTCAAACTGACCCGCGCAATGAAGTGCCCTTTCGAATGATACCAAGTATTGTATATATTCACAGAGAAAATTGTGAGTAAATCGATCGATCGCATTTTAACAAAGGTCAGTACACAAATTCCGCCGAGTTTCCGCCCGAATCTTACACGTATCGGCTATGACATCATTTTTTCAGACTGTTTTTCGCCCCTTAAACGTCCTTTTTTTTTCCTTGAAAATTTGCAGTGACATGCCGAGTTCCAAATACGCAGTGCACCTCGTGGCCAGATTTTTTAAATTGGTCAAGGGGGCCATTTAAGACGCCATTTTGTTCTATAAATCTATTTTACATCACGTGTTTCGATAGGATTATCATAGAAAAAAAGAAAGTGGTTTACAATAATAACCATGAAATTCTCTTTCCCCTATCCCAATTTCTTTCAAACTTCGTAGGCATAGTCATTACCATCCCATCAAGGTCACTGTTGAGGCCTTTCTTTCGCCCTACCTATCTCCAATATCACAGAAGCTACAGACTTCGTACAAATTGCTCTGGATAGTCCGAGAGGAGGTCTTTCGTTTGACACGTAGAAACATGGCGTCATTGCACGCACATCGATGTGACACGATTGCATTTCTAGTTTCTGTTCTTTACTCGTTAACAAAACTACAGGGGGATTGGGCAACCTCCACCCCCCCCCCACCCCATATCGAATTGAATACTTTGAAAAGACTGAAATGAACTTCATAAATAACAAAGAAAATGAAAGTTAATGCAATTTTCTGTAAATAGCAATTTGGAGAGAAGCTTCCGTTATGCGTCACATTGTTATAAATTCCTCGGGGGTGATTGTCATTGGGGGTATTTGTCTTCCGGGGGTAGTATTCCTGGGGGATAGTTGTCCTCGAGGGTAATAATAATAATAATAACTAGACTTTAATTCGTCACTTAGACGAATTAGGTGATACGTATGATAATTGTTTACATAACGAATAATGCATTACACGATATATTATTTTGTAAAATGCTTCTCCCATTTATATGCTTCTCCCATTATGATCTATTCAAATGTCAAGATTAGATTGTGTCTCCTTGATCATCATGGATCTAGGAAAGATAGATTGAAACAATATATGACCTTTGACCCTGTGCAGTAACCAGTTACACATTTGACTCTAAAATACATCATGAAGAACACCTTTTGACGATTTTATCTTATTCAAAGAAATGAAAATGTAATTGATAAATGATTATCATCATTATGATAAAGATGATCATGATCATGATCATGAGCGCGATCATGACATCTTATTGAAAAAAATGAGGGTTGATTTAGATAGCATATAGTCTCAGCTACAACATATTCAAAAATCAACAAAATCCAAGCAGAAATAACGGCGATATTGCTCGCAAAAGACAGGAATGTAGACTCCAGATTTGAGAAAAAGTCATTTCCCATAGGGATTACACCCAGAAATTAATGGATTAAGTGAAAATAGGGTAATAATAAAGTAAAAAGGGTTATTTATGACATTATTTGCGAATCTACGTGTTTAAACAATCAAAGGAGATGGTACAGTGAAGGTCAAAAGGAAAAAAAAGTGGAGGAAAAAATTGTTTGAGACACCCGGACTCGAACCAGGGATATCTCGAGGTTTGAAGTCAAGTGCGTTACCGATATACCAAAACATCTCCCATAGCGATTACACGTAAACGGGAAATGGAATTCAGAAATCCTACTTTGCAAGTGAAATATCAGCATGATCCCGGCATCTAATCGAAAAAATAAAGGGCACACTTGTGATAGCTTATTGTCTCAGCTACAACATATCCGAAGCTCAGCGAAAACGAAGCTAAAACAACGGAGATTTTGCTCGCGAAAGACAGGAGTGTAGAATCCAGTTTTGAGAAAAAGTCATGTCCCATAGAGAATACACGCAAAATGCGAAAAATTGACATGCCTCCTTTAATCGCAAAAATACACCATGATACTTTTGTCAAAAATAAAAATTGTGAATACTACATTTGTAGAAAATTGTCTCAGCTAGAACATATCAAAATTAAAAAGAAAATTGATCCATATTTACAGAGATACAATCAATTTTCCAAAAATATGCTGACGTCATAATATGCAAATTGAAATTTTGAGTTTGAAGGCCATTATGATGACGTCATGAGTTAATTGAGGATAAAATGAGACATGAAATCATATCTGCAACTCATAATCTATCCAAATATGAAAAAATATTAGGAGTTTCTATCTATCCTAAAGAGTTACAATGAATTTTATATAGGCATGTTTTTGCCCATGTATTGTGGATAAAGATAACGCAAATCCGCGCGTGCTGTCAACTTTGACGGACGCTCATTGCGTTAATAAAAGGTGAACAAATTATCAAAATGCTTGGAAAAATGTACCGAATATGATGACGGAAAAAAATCGGCGATTCTATGTTGCAAAATGCCAGTACGCGCGAAAACGCGCGCGCATGCGCGTGTGCGTATTTTTTTTTAAAATGCTCCATATGACCTGAAACGTATGCAAAAAAAATTTAAGACGATTTTGAGCAATTTAAAATTTTACGCGCGCGTTAACGCGCGCACAAACGCGTACGCGCATTTTTGCGTGCATTTATTGACCTGAAATTGACCGGTCGGATATTGATCTTAATCATGATAAATATGAATGAAAAATTACTATCCGTTATGAAGATATGATCATTAGTTGATTTTCACAAAATGGCGCCTGGATGACGTCACGATGACTTTGAGTCTTTGAAAAGTCACGCAGTTCTAAGTTAGACTAAGATCTATCATCATTGAAAGTTTCATGACAATGGCTTTATTCAGTCTTGAGATATCCTGCGAACAAATTCGAGGAAGAATAATAAAAATAAACTAGACTTGAATTCGTCACTTTGACGAATTAGGTGATACGTATGCTCATGTGTAACATGAAGAACCCATTTTCACGATTTGATCTTTAGTTTACTACTCCCATTATGGTCTATCCATGAGTCAAGTTTTAACTGTGTAGGGCGGGGAGACAGAGCAAGATAATAAGAGAGAGGCAATTAGGCAAGTGAGAGAGAGAGGATCGAGAGGGTGAAAGAGTAGAGAGAGAGAGAGCGAGATGCAGAGACAGCCCATGCAAATAAGAGAATAACAATTTAATAGAGAAGCTTCATCTCTTTTTCTCTACTCTCTCCCTTTTCTGCTTCTCTTAATAATTCTGTCCGCTCTCCTTTCCTTGCTCCGTCTCTGTATCTCCCCCCTTTTTCGCCTCTGGCTCTCTTGTTTTGCTCGCTCTCCTCTTGCTCTGTCTCTGTATTTCTCTGTCTCTACTTTCCCGCTTCTGGCTTTCATTCTCCCTCTATTATGCCTTGGGATGCTTCTTAATTTCCTCTTGCACTTCCCTTTGCCCTTTGTATTCTTATTTTACACCTACCACGTTTCCTCACCGTTTTGTCTCCTTTCAAGTGCATGCATTCCGATTCCTCTTGTATCTCTCTGTCCAGCTCATTAATTTTTTTACAGGACTATATACCAGTCTCCCTCCTTTTCTCTATATATATATCTACTGCCATCTTTTTCTCTCTCTCTTTATCTTTCCGTTAACACCATAGACCCTTAGAAAAAAACAGGCAGACCACCTCATTCGCCAAGTGACGAATTCAAATCTCGTTTTCTTTACGTTTTAGACAATTATAATTTTTAACTGTTTTTGATTGAAGTTATAGGAATCCAAATATGTTTAAAATAGTGGGTAAACAGTTATATATATGTATGGTCTTTAATTCTATAAGGACTGATGCTATCTACTGACTTCATGACACTTATGTTTGTGAATTATGTTTTCATGATTTTGTTTTGATTTGTTTAGTCGGTACGAGAAACATCACTATCACCATCATGCCACCCTTTTTTTCGATGGCAGCACCAATAAGGCTCTTGCCTTTTGTAATTGAGCCGTCTCTTCATTCATGCATTGTTATTTCATGATCTCCTCTATAAATTGTGGCAATGTACTCTTTAAAAAAAAAATTAATGGAATAAATGTCAAATTGAAGTTGAACCATCATCACCATCATCATCATCACAATTATCATAACTATCACCATCATCATCATCATTAGCATCATCATTTTTACCAAGTCTATCATCATCATCAATTTTATGCACCATCACCACCATCATAATCATCACTACCGCCATAATTTATCACCATCGCCATTTCCATCATAATAATACAAGAAAAATTAGTATAAACATTATTTGTGCAATCAGGCCATTTTTTATTTCATTATATAAATTGAGATATTTTAAAAAATCATATCTATCAGGGGTGATAGTGAGCACTAAAAAAAATATAGGTTTTATGTTTTCCCCTCAACCACGCCCCCCTCACGGGGGAAAAATGGCATCTAACATTATTCCCCCCTTTCGAGTAAGAAAATTGGGAAGAAAAATAGGGCAAAATAGGGAAGAATAGAGAAAATAAGGGGGAATCGGGAAAATCAGGGGGAATCAGAAAAATCAGGATAAAATAGGGAAGAAAAAAAAATCTGTTAAAAAAAAAAATCTGGATTTTTAAATTTTTTTTTAATCGGGAAGAAACAAAAAAAATCGGGAAAAAAATCGGGGAAAAAAAATAAAAATCGGGAAACTGATTTAAATCGGCTTTTAATCAGGCCTGTATCTATCTAAACACAAAGACAATTCACTAAATGAATTCATATTCTAGATAGCCACAACTTTATGACGAAGATAAAATTGAAAATAAAAAAACCAAAATTGATGTAATTCAATATAAAAATTCTGCAATATATAATGCAATATAAAACATGATATATTTGGCATTTCTGAAATGCTTTGGTGTTTGAATTACTTAGAGGGTGAAATAAAGTTGGTTCGATATATGATAGTCAGGATTTAAACCCCACAACACCGCTTATAAGCATACCTGAAGCGAAATAAAGTAAAAAATACTTCCAAACATTACTCCCTACCAACAAAACAACCTAAACATAGCCATATTTTTCAGTTGGCATTAAAGTCTGAGCCGTCAACAATTAGTTTGAAGAAAAAAAAATCGTCAAATGATCAGTTCTGTCGTGACAAAAACATTACAAACACAGCATTTCTAGATGAATTTCAGAGAGAAAGGCTAGTAAGTGTTCACAGGGAGAGAATATTCTTAGGGTAATCCCAGAGAAGTAACATAACATATTAACAAATAGTTTCACGAGAGGTAAAAAAAAATTGCATCGACACCCAAGCAGCACATTGGAAACAACACCTCCTCCATGTTTCGGCCTTTGACTATGTCTTACATCAATATGAAATTATGCAACTAAGAATCTACCGTTAAGCATACACAGTATTTACAGAAATTTGTAACACAATTAATACATAATGGTTAGAAGACTTTCTTCAACAAACATTGCCTAATGGCCACAAGATTTTTCCCTTTTGAGAAATCTAATTACCAGCCATTTGAATTCATGTTTTGCATAGATATATATATATATATATTTTCCTTGCATGTACATCTCAATATTTCAATTTTCATAACTTACCATTAGGATTACACAATGGATTTTTCTAGCAAAGGCATGAATGCAATAAGCTTAGATTAGATTTAAATGAGCTTGTGAGCAGTGTTGTGTTTATTGAAGGATTGGAATTTCATCAATCTTGCTTCGATGTCAACGAACCATGCCGAGGCGCAGTATGATGTAACAAAAGCAACCCAGATAGAGAGATGATGACGACGAGCATAATCGCCATGCAGCAGGCATTATATCTGAAATAGACATAAAGGAATTTATAAGTTATTTTAACTTTGAATGAAAACTTGGTTGACAACTTAGCATCATGAGACTAGCCACCAGTCATTTCAATGGCGTGGGTTAGAATCTCACCGCTGCCACCATGTAATGTGGTGTTGTTTGGCTGTATTACTACAACACATGAACTTCATTTTGACAGTGCAGCATGGTTGCATTTGATCATGTAAGGTCAATATATAACATATATGAGATCACATATCACAGATATTACAGTCGCTTTCGCCTTTTAATACTTTGGTCCTATCAACCAATAAGAGACCAACAAGAGACTAAACAAGAAATTACATTAACTCCAATGGCCAAGAATTGGTTGGTTTGGAGTCGGTGCAGAGGTGTGATCGAGGTATTACTGAGGCATATGTGAATGACCGACTCGGATCGATGTCTCATCAAATTACATTACTACTGAACAACAGCTCAAACGCACAGGCCCGAATTCACAAAGGAGGTTTGTCGACAAACTTCCTTTTGTTTTGACAAACCTCCTTTCGTTATTTACAAACCAGGTTTGTAAAAAACGCGTCAAAACGCGTCATATGACGTACAAAAACCTTGGTTTGTCGACAAACCTCCTTTGTGAATTCGGGCCACAATCTTTACATCTCAAGTCAAAGGCTTAAGCACTGTACTACAACACCCTCTCAAAGGTCTCATTACTGTGTATTCCTCTGTGGTAGTCTTTCATCAGTGTTTCCAGGACTTCATGAAAACAAAAATTCCCAATTTTTTTTTTTATATGAAGAATGGTTTTAAAATTCCAAGATCCAGTGGATACAATCTTTGGACACGAGATGAAAAAATAAGAGATTGTTTTTCTTTTAAGGCCAATGAAATTTGCTGATTAAAGATAAACTTTAGTACAAGTAAAAAAAGAAAATGAATTCTCACAGAATCTAACAAAACTTACACTGAATGTTCAAGATTATAAATAAATGACATGTGCCAAACAATTTTGGAAGAAAATGTATACTGGCTGAGTAATGAGCATAGAAAGACAAGGAAATCAAGGTAGTATTAGCCCCGACACCATGTGTGTTGTCCCATATATAGCTTTCTGTGTTAGTTTACCAAGACTTGGTCAAATTTATTATGATTTTGATGACTCCAGAACCTTGCAGTGCACACCAATACTTACATGCTACATGATCAACTGTTTCTGATCCTTTCAACACCATTTCTTTCACAATGCAATCGCATTACCAGTACTAAAGTTTATCTTTAATCCCAGATTTTAGCAACTTTTTTTTTCTTTATATTCCCTGATTTGCAGTATAGTTGGTAACCCATTCATAGAACGGTTTCCCTATAATCTTGATGATTATCTTCGTAAAACAGCTAGTATGGAAGGAGTAGGTGTCTTACCCATCTCACAGAGCACACCAGCGTATCCAACGGGGCATTAACAGATGGCTGAGGATGTGGCGTCGTCTAGGAGACACATAGCGCCATTCTGGCAAGGGCAGATGTCTGTATAAAGAAAATAAGGCAACATCGAAATAAAACATTCGAATAAAAGATAAAAACTATAAATCTTTTGCTCATGAAAAATAGGTATATGAGAGCCAAGTCAAGTAAAAAAACAAATCCAAAGCTGATATAATTTATTCAACGGCATGCAAACTTATTGAATGATAATTTTTGCTGATGCCCCACCAGGTTGTCAAGGCTTTCCATGAAAGAGCAACTAAATGTACCAAGTTGTTCTCAATGACAAGTAACATTATAACTGTTCTAAGATACTCAAATCAACGCATTTGATTGGCTGAGAGCAAATTTGTCATAGAATTTTAGCATTAATTATTGATAAGAGGTTTTATAAAACAAGGCCCAAGTCTGATGGATGGACGCCAAAGATAGAAAGAGGACAGATTCAGAATAACAGAATGTTCTCACCGCTAAGGTCGAGCATCTCAGCTTCTCTCCTCCTCCTGCCGTTGTTGATACACAGGTATTGGGCTGGGATGTAGAAGCACTGTTCACTGGGAGCGCATGGGTTGCTGGAACAAGGGTTGGCACCAACTGAAAATACACACAAACACATGATAATGATTATAACAATAATAATGATAATACAGTGAAACCTGTATATAAAGACCACTCAAAGGAGACATTAAATGTCTTTAAAGATGGGTGGTCTTTATTTACAGGTTTCAATGAGAAACAATATTCAAGGGAAACAAAATATGTGTCCTTTCTATACAGGTGGTCACCAAACAGGTTTGAATGTAATAATGGTAATTATAATGTCCGTCTCTCACATAGCGCGTGACCAATTATTATTTTCCACATTACAGTGTACATTCTCCGCTCCCTGGGGGGCATTTCAGCTAGTCACTTTTGTATAGATGCCTACAGATGCTTATCTAACCAGGTATTCATTTAACACCCTTATGGAGAGGAAGGTAGATAAATAATGTTATTGTTCAAGGACATAAACAGATGTGGTTCATGCAAATTGATAACTTGATACCAATTTCAACTCTGTACTACAGAGACTTTGTAAGTATGCACTTGATAGGAGTTGTGATTTATCGTTCAAAACTTTTAATAAGACAAGTTAATATGCCCCTCAGAGCTTGGGTCCAACCAGACATCAAGGGAAACAATACCGGTAGTTTGGATGTCAATTTATGTTCACAGCTGCCTAATACTTGGTAAACCTATAACAGGGCTTTACAACAATTTTTCTGGAAGGGGGTCAGAATTTTTGGGGCCCAGACTCAGATTTTGAGGGCTCCATGTGTCGCAGTGCCTATTGGTGTAGAGCCCTGCCTTTAAAGACCCATACAGAAAAGGTGGCCCTTATAGAGAGGTGGCTGCGAAGCCAGATTTGACTATACTTTGTTTACAGACATGGGTTTACCTTGGACTTCAAAAGAGAAGCTACAGCTTGCTGTAAGTCCTTGAGCATCGCTGAAGGTGAAGGTGCAGTGTGCACTCTGATAGCAAACTGATCTCCTGGTTCGTTGGAGGTTGATGTGACGGATCCAGAGTTGTCCGTCGCAGTGGGTGGAGCGAATTTGACATCGATGCTGTTGGCATCTGGTGCAGTGAAATAAATCTGTCCGTTATTGTTTACAGAGGATTGTAAGTCTTGCAGATCTTGCTAACTTACGAGATGGATGGTGCCAACAATCCTTATATGAAATGCAATATGTGCTTTTTATACAGAAATGATAGTTCTTACGAAACCAAACTCATTACAATCTAATCAAGTTGCCATGTCCGGGAGAATTGAAGGTAGAGATATGCTAATGCAACAATGGCCTATTGTATAGACAAGTACTTGTATTTCGGTAGCAAGATTAAACTTGAATAGGGCACACATGGAACCCAAGTCGGACTTCAGTTCTTTGCTCACTCTGTTCTATTGGTTTGCTTGTTACCCTTTATTGTCTTCATAGTCATACTCCTTTATTTTGTAAAATATCTAGAAATTTTTGTTTGGCTGATCTTATATTTGCAGTGATACACCAGATTATTGTTTTCAGGCGATTGGTACACTTAAACATGTGTATGAATCTGAATTTTCAAAAACATAAACATATTTGCTTCTATCTTTACTCCCCTTCAACCACAATCTCTTCTAAACTCAAGTTCCCACCTACCTGTGACAGTGACAGAAAAAAAGCAGGTCTGGAGTTGCTGCTTGGGTCTGTGGCGTTGTACGCCACGTTAGTGTATCCCACGACAAAGAAAGATCCAGAGCTCTGTGAGGCCGCAACGCTGGCTACACCAATGGGCTCGGTCCAGTTGACGGTAGTTGGGCTGCTACCGAAGGGGACGGTCACGTCGATGTTGCTTGGCCAGTTGAGGAAGGATGGTCGGGTGCCATCCGTTCCTGGATGAATCATTGCTTGATGAATCATAATGAAGCAAGAATATCTCTTTAAATGGCATATCGCCTTTACACTTTTCCCCTGATCTGTACTGAGCATAGACAAGTACTTGTATTTCGGTAGCAAGATTACACTTGAATAGGGCACACATGGAACCAAAGTCTGACTTCGGTTCCTTGCTCACTCGGTTCTATTGGTTTGTTTGTTACCCTTTATTGTCTTCATAGTCATACTCCTTTATTTTGTAAAATACCTAGAAATTTGTGTTTGGCTGATCTTATATATTCCAGTGATACCCAATCTTTTTATTCTTCAGGCGATTGGTACACTTTAACACGTGTATGTATCTGAGTTTTCTAAAACATCAACATTTTTGCTTTTATCTTTACTCCCTTTCAACCACAATCTCTTCTAAATACAATTTCCCACCTACCTGTGACGGTGACAGAGAAAGAGCAGCTTTCGAAGTTGCTGCTTGCGTCTGTGGAAGTGGAGGCCACGTTAGTGTATCCCACGACAAAGAAAGATCCAGAGCTCTGTGAGGCCGCAACGCTGGCTACACCAATGGGCTCGGTCCAGCTGAGGGTAGTTGGGCTGCTACCGAAGGGGACGGTCTCGTTGATGTTGCTTGGCCAGTTGAGGAAGGATGGTCGGGTGCCATCCGTTCCTGGATAAATTGTTGCTTGATGAATCATAATAAAGCAAGAATATCTCTTTAAATGGCATATCCCCTTTACACTTTTCCCCTGATCTGTACTGAGCATAGGTCTAAATCAGGACATTCAAAGAGAAGACTGATAAGAAAAATTCTTATGGTACCAGTTTAGTCAGTACCCTCGTTATTTGTCCCCTTGCAACTCCTACCAATAACACTGCATGGCTTTGTCTTTCTAATGATCTATACCTATGCCAACTTACATATTTTTGGCATGCAGAGATGAGTTACAATACATTTTACAGACAGATTAATAGCCTCTTGCTAAACATGTCATGGAGTAGAGTTTACTCAAACGAGTGCTCCTAAATTCATATAAGACATGGCCCAGATTATATTATTGCAGTCTGTGCATTTAATAGAAGCCTACGTACCAAGATTGACAACGATATTAAAGGAACATTATCCAACGTTGCTGAGGAAATCGGTCGCGGTGTGAGCGATGGTGGGGAAAGAGGAGCTAGAGTTGAAGTTGCTGGTGACGGTGGCCACACCCTAGATATTGGTAAAGATGGGTTTCGGTCCAGGTGATAGTCTGGGATGCAGGGCAGTTGGAGGTGACTGGGGGTGTGTTGTCTAAGGAAAATCAACAAGTTTATTACAATAATATCAAGAGCTTATTTTCAACACTTTCGTTATGATCTTCGCTCGTTTGTCACACATGCTATTTTGCACAAAACGATAGGTTCAAAATGAAAATTAAAGATGATTTTGATTTCGGTTAGGTTCCTTTGGTCCAGAGTTGAAGTTTAGAATTATGATAAGGTAGCTTAGCGAATTGTAGGGGTAGAAAAGAAGCAACTGGAATGCAAAATGACTTCAGTTACTTGCTCACTCTGTTCTATTGGTTTGTTTGTTACCCTTTATTGTCTTCATAGTCATACTCCTTTATTTTGTAAAATACCTAGAAATTTGTGTTCGGCTGATCTTTTATATTCCAGTGATACCCAATCTTTTTATTCTTCAGGCGATTGGTACACTTTAACACGTGTATGTATCTGAGTTTTCTAAAACATCAACATTTTTGCTTTTATCGTTACTCCCTTTCAACCACAATCTCTACTAAACATAAGTTCCCACCTACCTGTGACGGTGACAGATAAAGAGCAGCTTTCGAAATTGCTGCTTGCGTCTGTGGCGGTGGAGGCCACGTTAGTGTATCCCACGACAAAGAAAGATCCAGAGCTCTGTGAGGCCGCAACGCTGGCTACACCAATGGGCTCGGTCCAGCTGAGGGTAGTTGGGCTGCTACCGAAGGGGACGGTCTCGTTGATGTTGCTTGGCCAGTTGAGGAAGGATGGTCGGGTGCCATCCGTTCCTGGATAAATCGTTGCTTGATGAATCATAATAAAGCAAGAATATCTCTTTAAATGGCATATCGCCTTTACACTTTTCCCCTGATCTGTACTGAGCATCGACAAGTACTTGTATTTCGGTAGCAAGATTACACTTGAATAGGGCACACATGGAACCCAAGTCGGACTTCGGTTTTTTGCTCACTCTGTTCTATTGGTTTGTTTGTTACCCTTTATTGTCTTCATAGTCATACTCCTTTATTTTGTAAAATACCTAGAAATTTGTGTTCGGCTGATCTTATATATTCCAGTGATACCCAATCTTTTTATTCTTCAGGCGATTGGTACACTTTAACACGTGTATGTATCTGAGTTTTCTAAAACATCAACATTTTTGCTTTTATCTTTACTCCCTTTCAACCACAATCTCTTCTAAATACAATTTCCCACCTACCTGTGACGGTGACAGAGAAAGAGCAGCTTTCGAAGTTGCTGCTTGCGTCTGTGGCGGTGGAGGCCACGTTAGTGTATCCCACGACAAAGAAAGATCCAGAGCTCTGTGAGGCCGCAACGCTGGCTACACCAATGGGCTCGGTCCAGCTGAGGGTAGTTGGGCTGCTACCGAAGGGGACGGTCTCGTTGATGTTGCTTGGCCAGTTGAGGAAGGATGGTCGGGTGCCATCCGTTCCTGGATAAATCGTTGCTTGATGAATCATAATGAAGCAAGAATATCTCTTTAAATGGCATATCCCCTTTACACTTTTCCCCTGATCTGTACTGAGCATAGGTCTAAATCAGGACATTCAAAGAGAAGACTGATAAGAAAAATTCTTATGGTACCAGTTTAGTCAGTACCCTCGTTATTTGTCCCCTTGCAACTCCTACCAATAACACTGCATGGCTTTGTCTTTCTAATGATCTATACCTATGCCAACTTACATATTTTTGGCATGAAGAGATGAGTTACAATACATTTTACAGACAGATTAATAGCCTCTTGCTAAACATGTCATGGAGTAGAGTTTACTCAAACGAGTGCTCCTAAATTCATATAAGACATGGCCCAGATTATATTATTGCAGTCTGTGCATTTAATAGAAGCCTACGTACTAAGATTGACAACGATATTAAAGGAACATTATCCAACGTTGCTGAGGAAATCGGTCGCGGTGTGAGCGATGGTGGGGAAAGAGGAGCTAGAGTTGAAGTTGCTGGTGACGGTGGCCACACCCTAGATATTGGTAAAGATGGGTTTCGGTCCAGGTGATAGTCTGGGATGCAGGGCAGTTGGAGGTGACTGGGGGTGTGTTGTCTAAGGAAAATCAACAAGTTTATTACAATAATATCAAGAGCTTATTTTCAACACTTTCGTTATGATCTTCGCTCGTTTGTCACACATGCTATTTTGCACAAAACGATAGGTTCAAAATGAAAATTAAAGATGATTTTGATTTCGGTTAGGTTCCTTTGGTCCAGAGTTGAAGTTTAGAATTATGATAAGGTAGCTTAGCGAATTGTAGGGGTAGAAAAGAAGCAACTGGAATGCAAAATGACTTCAGTTACTTGCTCACTCTGTTCTATTGGTTTGTTTGTTACCCTTTATTGTCTTCATAGTCATACTCCTTTATTTTGTAAAATACCTAGAAATTTGTGTTCGGCTGATCTTTTATATTCCAGTGATACCCAATCTTTTTATTCTTCAGGCGATTGGTACACTTTAACACGTGTATGTATCTGAGTTTTCTAAAACATCAACATTTTTGCTTTTATCGTTACTCCCTTTCAACCACAATCTCTACTAAACATAAGTTCCCACCTACCTGTGACGGTGACAGATAAAGAGCAGCTTTCGAAATTGCTGCTTGCGTCTGTGGCGGTGGAGGCCACGTTAGTGTATCCCACGACAAAGAAAGATCCAGAGCTCTGTGAGGCCGCAACGCTGGCTACACCAATGGGCTCGGTCCAGCTGAGGGTAGTTGGGCTGCTACCGAAGGGGACGGTCTCGTTGATGTTGCTTGGCCAGTTGAGGAAGGATGGTCGGGTGCCATCCGTTCCTGGATAAATCGTTGCTTGATGAATCATAATAAAGCAAGAATATCTCTTTAAATGGCATATCGCCTTTACACTTTTCCCCTGATCTGTACTGAGCATCGACAAGTACTTGTATTTCGGTAGCAAGATTACACTTGAATAGGGCACACATGGAACCCAAGTCGGACTTCGGTTTTTTGCTCACTCTGTTCTATTGGTTTGTTTGTTACCCTTTATTGTCTTCATAGTCATACTCCTTTATTTTGTAAAATACCTAGAAATTTGTGTTCGGCTGATCTTATATATTCCAGTGATACCCAATCTTTTTATTCTTCAGGCGATTGGTACACTTTAACACGTGTATGTATCTGAGTTTTCTAAAACATCAACATTTTTGCTTTTATCTTTACTCCCTTTCAACCACAATCTCTTCTAAATACAATTTCCCACCTACCTGTGACGGTGACAGAGAAAGAGCAGCTTTCGAAGTTGCTGCTTGCGTCTGTGGCGGTGGAGGCCACGTTAGTGTATCCCACGACAAAGAAAGATCCAGAGCTCTGTGAGGCCGCAACGCTGGCTACACCAATGGGCTCGGTCCAGCTGAGGGTAGTTGGGCTGCTACCGAAGGGGACGGTCTCGTTGATGTTGCTTGGCCAGTTGAGGAAGGATGGTCGGGTGCCATCCGTTCCTGGATAAATCGTTGCTTGATGAATCATAATGAAGCAAGAATATCTCTTTAAATGGCATATCCCCTTTACACTTTTCCCCTGATCTGTACTGAGCATAGGTCTAAATCAGGACATTCAAAGAGAAGACTGATAAGAAAAATTCTTATGGTACCAGTTTAGTCAGTACCCTCGTTATTTGTCCCCTTGCAACTCCTACCAATAACACTGCATGGCTTTGTCTTTCTAATGATCTATACCTATGCCAACTTACATATTTTTGGCATGAAGAGATGAGTTACAATACATTTTACAGACAGATTAATAGCCTCTTGCTAAACATGTCATGGAGTAGAGTTTACTCAAACGAGTGCTCCTAAATTCATATAAGACATGGCCCAGATTATATTATTGCAGTCTGTGCATTTAATAGAAGCCTACGTACCAAGATTGACAACGATATTAAAGGAACATTATCCAACGTTGCTGAGGAAATCGGTCGCGGTGTGAGCGATGGTGGGGAAAGAGGAGCTAGAGTTGAAGTTGCTGGTGACGGTGGCCACACCCTAGATATTGGTAAAGATGGGTTTCGGTCCAGGTGATAGTCTGGGATGCAGGGCAGTTGGAGGTGACTGGGGGTGTGTTGTCTAAGGAAAATCAACAAGTTTATTACAATAATATCAAGAGCTTATTTTCAACACTTTCGTTATGATCTTCGCTCGTTTGTCACACATGCTATTTTGCACAAAACGATAGGTTCAAAATGAAAATTAAAGATGATTTTGATTTCGGTTTAGTTCCTTTGGTCCAGAGTTGAAGTTTAGAATTATGATAAGGTAGCTTAGCGAATTGTAGGGGTAGAAAAGAAGCAACTGGAATGCAAAATGACTTCAGTTACTTGCTCACTCTGTTCAATTGGTTTGTTTGTTACCCTTTATTGTCTTCATAGTCATACTCCTTTATTTTGTAAAATACCTAGAAATTTGTGTTCGGCTGATCTTTTATATTCCAGTGATACCCAATCTTTTTATTCTTCAGGCGATTGGTACACTTTAACACGTGTATGTATCTGAGTTTTCTAAAACATCAACATTTTTGCTTTTATCGTTACTCCCTTTCAACCACAATCTCTACTAAACATAAGTTCCCACCTACCTGTGACGGTGACAGATAAAGAGCAGCTTTCGAAGTTGCTGCTTGCGTCTGTGGCGGTGGAGGCCACGTTAGTGTATCCCACGACAAAGAAAGATCCAGAGCTCTGTGAGGCCGCAACGCTGGCTACACCAATGGGCTCGGTCCAGCTGACGGTAGTTGGGCTGCTACCGAAGGGGACGGTCTCGTTGATGTTGCTTGGCCAGTTGAGGAAGGATGGTCGGGTGCCATCCGTTCCTGGATGAATCATTGCTTGATGAATCATAATAAAGCAAGAATATCTCTTTAAATGGCATATCGCCTTTACACTTTTCCCCTGATCTGTACTGATCATCGACAAGTACTTGCATTTCGGTAGCAAGATTACACTTGAATAGGGCACACATGGAACCCAAGTCGGACTTCGGTTTTTTGCTCACTCTGTTCTATTGGTTTGTTTGTTACCCTTTATTGTCTTCATAGTCATACTCCTTTATTTTGTAAAATACCTAGAAATTTGTGTTCGGCTGATCTTATATATTCCAGTGATACCCAATCTTTTTATTCTTCAGGCGATTGGTACACTTTAACACGTGTATGTATCTGAGTTTTCTAAAACATCAACATTTTTGCTTTTATCTTTACTCCCTTTCAACCACAATCTCTTCTAAATACAATTTCCGACCTACCTGTGACGGTGACAGAGAAAGAGCAGCTTTCGAAGTTGCTGCTTGCGTCTGTGGCGGTGGAGGCCACGTTAGTGTATCCCACGACAAAGAAAGATCCAGAGCTCTGTGAGGCCGCAACGCTGGCTACACCAATGGGCTCGGTCCAGCTGAGGGTAGTTGGGCTGCTACCGAAGGGGACGGTCTCGTTGATGTTGCTTGGCCAGTTGAGGAAGGATGGTCGGGTGCCATCCGTTCCTGGATAAATCGTTGCTTGATGAATCATAATGAAGCAAGAATATCTCTTTAAATGGCATATCCCCTTTACACTTTTCCCCTGATCTGTACTGAGCATAGGTCTAAATCAGGACATTCAAAGAGAAGACTGATAAGAAAAATTCTTATGGTACCAGTTTAGTCAGTACCCTCGTTATTTGTCCCCTTGCAACTCCTACCAATAACACTGCATGGCTTTGTCTTTCTAATGATCTATACCTATGCCAACTTACATATTTTTGGCATGCAGAGATGAGTTACAATACATTTTACAGACAGATTAATAGCCTCTTGCTAAACATGTTATGGAGTAGAGTTTACTCAAACGAGTGCTCCTAAATTCATATAAGACATGGCCCAGATTATATTAGTGCAGTCTGTGCATTTAATAGAAGCCTACGTACCAAGATTGACAACGATATTAAAGGAGATTTATCCAACGTTGCTGAGGTAATCGGTCGCGGTGTGAGCGATGGTGGGGAAAGAGGAGCTAGAGTTGAAGTTGCTGGTGACGGTGGCCACACCCTAGATATTGGTAAAGATGGGTTTCGGTCCAGGTGATAGTCTGGGATGCAGGGCAGTTGGAGGTGACTGGGGGTGTGTTGTCTAAGAAAAATCAACAAGTTTATTACAATAATATTAAGAGCTTATTTTCAATTTCAACACTTTCGTTATGATCTTCGCTCGTTTGTCACACATGCTATTTTGCACAAAACGATAGGTTCAAAATGAAAATTAAAGATGATTTTGATTTCGGTTAGGTTCCTTTGGTCCAGAGTTGAAGTTTAGAATTATGATAAGGTAGCTTAGCGAATTGTAGGGGTAGAAAAGAAGCAACTGGAATGCAAAATGACTTCAGTTACTTGCTCACTCTGTTCTATTGGTTTGTTTGTTACCCTTTATTGTCTTCATAGTCATACTCCTTTATTTTGTAAAATACCTAGAAATTTGTGTTCGGCTGATCTTATATATTCAAGTGATACTCAATACTTTTATACTTCAGGCGATTGGTACACTTTAACACGTGTATGTATCTGAGTTTTCTAAAACATCAACATTTTTGCTTTTATCGTTACTCCCTTTCAACCACAATCTCTACTAAACATAAGTTCCCACCTACCTGTGATGGTGACAGAGAAAGAGCAGCTTTCGAAGTTGCTGCTTGCGTCTGTGGCGGTGGAGGCCACGTTAGTGTATCCCACGACAAAGAAAGATCCAGAGCTCTGTGAGGCCGCAACGCTGGCTACACCAATGGGCTCAGTCCAGTTGACGGTAGTTGGGCTGCTACCGAAGGGGACGGTCACGTCCATGTTGCTTGGCCAGTTGAGGAAGGATGGTCGGGTGCCATCCGTTCCTGGATAAATCGTTCCTTGACGAATCATAATGAAGCAAGAATATCTCTTTAAATGGCATATCGCCTTTATACACTTTTCCCCTGATTTGTACCGAGCATAAGTCTAATCAAAGAGAAGACTGATAACAAAAATACCTATGGTACCCAAAAAATAAAATAGTTCTAGTCAGTACCCTCGTTTTTTGTTTCCTTGCAACTTCTACCAATAACACAGCTTGGCTCTGTCTTTTTAACAATCCATACCTAGCTGTGTAGGTGACCTCAGTAGATCCAACAGCGAAGGAACTGCCTGGTAGTTGGTTGACCGTCAGGGTAGCGGCGTCAGAGTTGTCTGATGCCACAGGAGCCAGCCATGAAACCACCGGGGTCGAGGTACCAGGGCTGGCATTGGCGACGATGTCGGTTGGACAGCCCGTCAGGACGGGGTTCTCTCTGTAAATGACCACTGTGACAAAGAAATTAGATGAAAATGATGTCAGAAACAGAATATGTACATGCAGCCTCTATTTTCAAAAAATATAAGTTGCTTCCTCTATCCAGAGATACAGTGTACATTCATCTCGTCAGATTTGGTACAAATTTTAATCATTTCACCACCTACATTTTTACAATTCTAATCTGCTCACGAAACACAGACAAATGCCAAACATAGCAACATGTTTATATGCAGGAAGAATTTGAACCAAACAGTTGCTGTAATAAAGTGTTAACGTCATGTTTACTTGTCATCCGGGTTACTGGTTTTAAACAGAGCCCGTCAATGAGGTTCAAGGCACAATCATTTATACAACAAGCTAGAGCAGGGCAAAGTCAGTGTTTGGCACCGGTGTGATCACAACATCATGGTTTAGCACAAATTGTTTGAAACCAGCAACCTTGACAATGTGGCCAGTATGACGTCACACCTTGGTACTCTATACATAAATGGGTCAGTTAAAACAAGTTTTTTTTTTCAAAGCAAGATTTCACAATAATGTCTTACACTCCCAAAAAATCTTTAAAATTATTAAAGGAAAATCACTGACCTCCACTTGAAGTGACAGTGACTTCAAAGCTGCATGTCAAGTAGAAACTAGCGTTATCGATAAGGTAATAGATGACCAGATAAGTGCCAACATCAAAGGAATCACCAGGCAAGAAGTTACTGACTGCTGTGATGGGTTCTGAGGCGTCCGTAGCTGTAGGGACGTCCCAAGAGGCCGTGGCACTGCTGGCACAGGATGCAGCCTGGACGAAGACGTTACTGGGACGAAACGTGATCTCTGGGGCGGTAGTGTCGCTGCCGTTTGTGGTGGAGGTCGAATTCAGTTTAAATTTTATTTATTTATTAATGTAATGAAGATTAGGTCTGAGAAAGCTTCAATCAGAGAAAGTGAAAATGCTCCAAAGATGATTCTGGTAGTCCGTGGTCAAATTTTCTACATCAACCAAATCCCAAATTCAGCTCAGGACCAAACACTATATCTAATGCTCACTTAGTTAAAATAACTACCGGTAACCTTGAACTCAATACCAACCCTAATCTTAATCTTCAACAAAATAAAGTCTGGAGTAGTTTAGATTAACAGCTAAGGATCACCTTGTGATATGATTGAAAAATCAAAAATGTCAAATGTGAAAGAGCTTTATTTTAATTGCTTCATGGTAACTATAATAAATAGGAATCACTTGTGTTTCAACCAACGGTAGACCTTTGCTGTATACATGGTCAATCAAAGTATCACCTTCAGTGGTTGATTGCTTTACATGTTGTGTATAGCCGTGATTACACATCAAGTCTTGTATTTTAGATGACTGTTTTAATAAGTTATCATTGAAGTCGCCCATTACAATACATTTTGTACCCACTTTATGTAGCTCTTCTAATAAGTTATTCAAACACTCACAGAAGTCTTTCATTCTGTATGTCGGAGGGCGATAAACAACTGCAATGACAACAGAAACAGGACAGGTTATAAGAAAAGCAATAAACTCTAGATTATCAATCTTTATATCAAGTCTGCTTGAAAATTCATTCTTGCTATAAACTGCAACACCTCCATGTGACTGGTCCTTGAAATGTTGCCTTGAATCACTTGTGATAGAATAAGAGTTATATCTTGATTGATGATACAATTTGAAATGAGCTAAGAATAATTCAAAAGCATCATCCTTATCAGACAGCCATGTTTCAGTCAAACAAATAATATCAGAATTCAGGAATGTTGGATTGCATTGTAAGTCTACATAATGTTGTTTTAATCCTTGAATATTGTGCAACATTATGCATAAACCATCATCATATGTTTCCTCTGCTATAGAAGTTTCCAAGAAATTGGTCATATCATTAAGGTGTTTTTTAATCTTTGGATCACAGTATATAACTTTTGGATGAAAATCTTCAATGGTAAGTCCAGATAAAGAAGTTACACGACTCAGGCCTACATAGCTATGTCCAGATGCAAATATTTTTTTCAGTGATACTACTACTTTATTTAAAGTCATGCCTTGTACTTTGTGAACCGTGCAAGCATAAGCCAGTTTGAGGGGAAATTGCTTTCTTGTGTAATTTTTACCCATTGATTCTTCATACATTTTGATCGATTGAATGCCAATTTTCTGGCTATCAAATTTTACACTGATGCAGTATGGCTTGGATTCGTTGTTTCGTTTTACTATTTCTGCAACTGTACCTATACATCCATTTGTCAAACCTATATTGGTATCAATATTTTTTAAAAGCATCACCCTGGCATTCAAAGCAATTGACAGATTGCCAGGCAAAGAACTTTGACTAGATTTACATGGTTTGGTACATATTTCGTCATTATCCTTGCTGTTATTTCTGTCTTCAGCTTTAACACATATAATATCTTTACATTTACTGTGCAACATTCTGCTATTCCATTCATTTACTTGTTTATTAGTTGAATAGATGTGCATATCTTCTTCACATTGTTCACCCGTTTCACAAGAGGTAAGGATTGATAAATCTGCATCTGATAAAGTGTCTTTCTTTTCCTTAACTCTCAATCTATTCAAGAGTAGAGCAAATGCCAAATCTTCCTTTTGTCTCATTATTTCAACCAGTTCTACCTTTTTGAAATTTTCAGACCACAGCGATTGTTCTACCGATTCCTTATACAAGGGTTTTCCGTTCACTGGTGGTAATTGGTAAAAATCTCCAACTGCCAGTACCGAAACGTTACCGAATGGACAATCAGTGCGTGATTGCTTAATTTGTCTTAATCGACCGTGTATGTAGTACAGCAATTTGGAATCTACCATGGAAATTTCATCTATGATCAAAATTTGCAACTGTCCAAGCTTATTACGAAGGGTGTTAATTCTTTCTTCACCAAGTGGTCGATAAGGAAATTTGGCGTTGATTGGAACTGAGAGCGCACTGTGAATTGTAGATCCTTCTATATTGAATGCAGCTATGCCAGTTGGTGCAACTTTCAAGATTGAAATGTCATCAGGATTAACCATCATTTTACCAAGTATGCGTACAGCTTCGTGGTATATACATTTTATTAAATAAGATTTTCCTGTTCCTGCACCACCACTAATAAGTACATGAAAAGGTTGACTTTTTGTACCATTCACTTTCTCTAAGCACCATTGTCTAATTTTGTAAAAGATTTCTTTTTGCTCATTGTTTAAACATCGAATCAAACTATTCGATTCATGTTTTGAAATTCCATGGCTTCGAAATTCCACACTAGAAGTTTCATTCTTTTTTTCATGTTTGAAATCTGGAATGTCCAATTCACATTCTGGTTCATCCATTTCAACTTTGTTCTTAGGATTTTCTAGTCTTTCTTTTTCACTTTCAGGACATAAAAGAGCCCACGCATCTTCTGGAGGACCAAATTTGTCCATGAAAAGTTCAGCTTGTTCAATGGCTCTTGAATTTCTTTCGTACTCTTTACAATGTTTGTCTACTATTGATTTTACACTTTCCAAATTGCCTCCCTGTAGTTTGACATTACCTGTTTTATAAAATTCCTGATATGTCTCAAACTGTGGGGGTTTTAACTGCTCATCATTACTAAATGGCAGGAAAAGTTGCAATATACTGAGGTAATATTTTTCTGGAGAAAGTATTTTAGAAAATCGTGGATATCTTACGACAGCAGCACTAGACCTTGTTCGTTTCTGAATGTATCCCGAATTATTTTTCAATTCAAATAAATATGGTGATGTTTTAGTGCCTTTCACTTGCGATGCAGTTAGTATTCTGTAACATGCGCAGAATTTTGCAAGGCACATAGTGTCAAATTCACTTCCATTAGGTCTAGCTTTATATCGATCAAGTTTATTTGCCATCCATGGACTCCTATCATCATCATCATCGTCAGGTCTACTTTGAATAACATGTAAAGGTAAACTCATTCTAACAGGATTTGGACCAACCGGAATAAACTCGACTTTTCGTGAACACTCTTTTAATCGAAGGGAACATACACGATACACACTCTCCTGTGCAGATACTTCTCGATTTTGCATGTAGACATTTCCGAGCTGTCTGATACTTTTTCTTGCATCATGATTTCCCTCATTTATTTCAGATTGAGCATGGCTTAAGAGCATTCCCATTTCTCTCTCTGATTTTGAAATGTATGATACAATATATCTAACACATGCATAAACATCCATAACAAATTGTAAGTCCATATTTGCATTCCATGCTCTCAGTAGAAAAGGATTGTACTGATTTATCCATACATCTTTGGGGTCTCTTTTCTTGATCAAAATTTCTTGTTTAGCTAATAACCTAGTTGCAGTTTCAAATTCAGTCTGTGTTGTGTTACAATCTTTAAAAAGGTCTGAGACATTAGCGTAATTATTTTCCTGATTTACAGCGTTTTTGATAGATTCTAATAATTGTTTTGCACTATCAATTTCATCAGGTTTACCCTCTTTGGGATAAAGTACACATGTTCTATCAGATGGTGGTCTTGGAAAATTGAACCGACATGTTTTTCCCTTCTTTTTACAAGATTTTGAATGCTTTTTGCTATGCTGCTGCACATGAGTGATTATTTCATGGAGTTCTGGATCTTCTTGTTCGGATGGTATCTTGCAAGAAACGTATTTATCAATAAAGGAAACTACTTCCTCATCTGAACTATATCCATGCTCTGGTGCATCCTTTACCCAGAATAAACAATGTGTGTGTGGAGATCCTCGCTGTTGGAATTCAACACGATAAAAATAATCTATTACATGACCAATGGGATGTGCTTGAGACAAAATAACATTTTTCAAAAAAGTATGAAATCTTTTGTCAAACATTCTTGCAACAGTCACTGGATTCGACTTTAAAAGTTCACATTTATCTGTCCAATCTAGGTCATTGATTTTTCGTTTATC